GATTATAATATAAGTAAATAAGATTATAAGATTATTAAAATCGTAATATCTAGATAAATAATATAAAATATATTTATATATTTATATAAGATATTATTAATAAATATTTAAATAATAATAAAGATATTATATAATTAAAAAGATATTATTATATATTCGAATAGATTATATTAAATAAGAAATATAATTTTTTTCTAATAATTTTTTTCTATTTTAATTTCGTTAAAAGCGACTATAATATCGAATTTACTATATATTCTTATCGCGTATAATTTAGCGAAAGTCTCTTTAATTAATAAGAGAATATTTTAATTAAAAATAATAAGTATATTAAGAGCTCTATAGTTTATATATAATCTAAATTCTTTATCGAGTTTTTTTACGATTAGAATAAATACTATATAGAGAGAAGTACTTAATCTAATATAGTTTTTCTTTAATATCTTATTAATATATTTCTTTATAATTAATATCTAATCTTTAAAGAATTTATAAATTCTTTTCAATAGTAGAATAATTCTTTTTTTAAGATATATTTTATAATTAATAAAGCGATAAGAGGGAAGTTTATTAGTTTTAATAGAATTCTAAATATCTAATTAGTATATATAAAAGAATAAGATAGAATTAAGCTTAAAAATCTTGAATTTATATATATAGCTATCTATAAATTCGAGTTCGCTACGCTTTTTAACTAGATCGACTAAGTTATCGCGAGTAAATAAATTAGCGTTTATAATTATTAAAAGATAGTCGAATAGCTCTAATAAAAAAATAGATATATATTATTTAATTTTAGAATAAATTTTTTATTTTCTATAAAATTTTAAGATTTTTTCTTTAACTTATAGAATAAAATATAGACTTTTAGAAAAAAAATTTTTAATTTAATTTTATAATTATTAAAGCGTAAGAAATTCAAGTATCGCTTATTAAACATCGCTTATTAAAGTTCGCTCGATAGCCAAATAGCTTTAATTAAAAAATAGATATATATTATTTAATTTTAAAATAACTTTTTTATTTTCTATTAAAATTTTAAGATTTTTCTTTTAAATTATAAAATAAAATATAAGCTTTTAAATAAATAAAAAACTCTTATATTTAATCTTATAATTATTAAAGCGTAAGGAATTTAAATATCGCTTATTAAAGTTTACTTATTAAAGATCGCTTATCTATTTACTCGATAGTTCTAATTAAAAAAAAAATTATAAATTTAATTTATAAACCTTTACTCGTTATCTATAATATATTATAAAAACTTATTCTCTTAACTATTTTATAATTAAAGATTTCTTTCTTAATTTATAAAAAGTTTTTTATAATCTTCTATTATAATAGCGATAATATTAATAATAAACTTTACTTTCTTATTAATAGAGTTAAAAAATTATTTAAAATTTTAAAACTATATAATAATAACTTAATTCTTTAATTTTTTAATTATCTTAATAAAGATATAGATAAAAATCTCTATTATATTCTTTTTTTTAAATATAATCTTTATTATATAATTTAAGTTTTTTTTTAAAAACTTATTATTACTTTAAATAATAACGAGTTTATTATATAATAAATAGTTAAATATATAATAATTCTAAATTTAAAGAATATATAAGAATTATATTATTCTAGTTATAATATTTTTAAAATAATATTAAATTATCTTAATAAGATAATTAAGTATTAAAATTCTTTTATATAATCTTTTAAAATAAGTTTTATTAAGATTATATATATAATATTAAATATAAAAATAATTATATTATTAATTAATTATAATTTATAAAATTATATTAATATTACTTTAAATAGCTTATTTAATTTAATAAAAGATATATTGATAAAGCTTAATATTAAAGTTTTAATATTTAGAAAATAATTCATCTTAATCTATTCTTTTAATATAATTTTTTTTTTATAAAAGTTTAATTAGTATTTAATTTATAAAGAGACTTTAATAGTAATAGTATAAGCGAATAGAGAGATAAAAGCGAGTATTCTTTCTTTTTTTTACCTTTTTAATCTTTATATATAAGACTTCTAAATCTCTAGCGATAACTTAATTAAAGATATTTAATTTTTTAATTCTTATAATAATTCGATAAGAATATTCTTCTTAATATCGACGACTTTTAGAATTATATTAACTTATTCTTTTATTAATAAATTTATATTTTTATATAGAGTACTATTATCGCTAAAACGATATCTAGTTTTCAAATACTTAAAATATCTATCTTCGTTTTAAATTCTATCTATTAAGAGTTTAAGATATTTATATTTTAATATATAGAATTTTTTAATAATAGTATTATTATTTCTTTTAGTAAAGAAAGTATTACGCTAATTATTTAAGAGAATAAAGTTTTTATAATTATTACTAATTTTATTAATCTCTTTCTTACTCTTTAAATTTAATATATTATTAATAATTTAAAAATCTATATTTAATACTTATAGAAAAATAACTAATTCTTAAAAAGTATTAAAAGATTATTTTAAAATTCGATTTCTTAGACGTATAGAGATTAATCGTTTTAAATTAAATATCTTATAGATATTAATAAATTCTAAGAGAGTAATAGCTATAGAGAATTATACGTAGAAATTCTTAAATAATTTCTTCTTATCTATTACTTTTATATTAAATTTAAAATTAAATATCTTAATATTTAATTTAATAATCTTATTATATATTTTAAATATATTATTTAATTTATTAATTATTTCTTAAGTAATTTAATATAAATTTAAGATATCTTCGTTTACTCTTATTTTAATAACGTTATATATAATAATTTTATAATAATTTTATATATAATTAATTTTCTTAAATTTAATAGAGAAGATTATAGCGTTTTATTTAAACTTTGCTTTAAGATATTAATATTAACTATCTTACTTATTTCGATTTATAATAGAGATATAATATAAATTTTAATAGATATTATTAATAGAAATATTCGATTAACGAGATATAATCTTTATATCTTTCTTATCGAAGTTTTTTAAATTAGTTAATATATAAGATTATTACTTCTTTAGCTATTACTCTTTATACTTTAAATCTTATTTAAATTTTTTATTTTCTTTAATAAGTTTTATAGTATTAATACGATATCTATTATATAAATCTCGAAGTTTATTATTAATTTCTCGCTTATAGAATAATTAACTATTATTATTACTTAGTTAAATAATAATTATTAATATCTTTATCTTAGCTTAAATAATATTTAATTAAATTTATTATTCTATTATTAAAATATCTTATTATTATAACTAGTAATTTAAAAGCTTTTTATTAAAATCTTTAATTTATTATATTAAGTATTAGAAATATTAATAATACTTTTTATAAAGTTTTATAAATTAATAATAGATATAAAAATTATAATTAACTCTTCTTTAATAATATTTATAAGTTATACTTCGATATAACTTAAATTAAATTTAATAATATATCTTCTAGAGATAGAACGCTTTTTTTTACATTATACGAATAATATAGTAATATTTAAGATCTTCTTATTAAAGTTCTTAAGTTCTTCTAAATAATAATATATCTATAACTTATCTATAACGATTTAACTTTATATATTATTTAAATTTAAAATTAAGAGATTTATAGCTAGTATTAAACTAATAAAAGTATAAAGAAGATTTAATTTAGAGTTTATTTCTTTTAATATATTAAAGATATCTATTTTCTTTAGATTCTTATTTAATTTAATTAAATTAACCTTTATATAAATAAAATATTTTCTTTTAAATAATCTTTTAAATAATAAGCTTCTTTAATTATAGCTATTAACTTCTTAATAATATACTCTCTTTTTAACTATATATTTAATATAACTAATAAATAAATTATTATCGCTTTAAAAAAAAGATAGATAATATTATATTAAAAACTTAATAATATATATAATAACTCTATATTATAATATAAAGAGAATATTATCTATATAGAATTGTTATAAATATAGATTTTATAGTAAAATAGAAAGATTAAAAGATCTTAATACGCTAAGTTTAATTAGACTATAATATAAATAAGATTATTAAAATCGTAATAAAATAAATAAGACTACTTAAAAAGAGAAATACGAGTACTATAAATTCGATCTTCGCAGCGATAACTATTATATTTAATATCTATAATTAACTTTGAATTGATTTAAAGAACTAATAAAAGAATAAGTAGAATATAAAGAAAAGAATATAAAATAGATATAGAAGTTCTAGACTAAATTAACTATAACTTTAAGGGGTAATAACTTCGAAGATTATTTAAGTATATATATTTCGATTTAGTTATTCTATAGTATAGAGATATAGTTAATAATACTATATTATAGAGATATATTAAGATTTACTATAGTATTTATATTATAGCTATCTCTTATAATGGCAATTAGATAATAAATTAATATAAGCTTTATATGATATAAGTAGCCTACATATCATTCCATAGTTAATCAATTAATCCTTCTCATACATTTCCAACAATCATACACACCATTGAGTTCCTGACACAATCTCTCGAAGCCGCTAAAAGGGCTGAGTGAGAAAGAGGAAGAGATGGTGGAGAAGGGTATAAAGCAATTGAGAGAGAACATAAAGCTAGGTAGCGAAAAGGGGAAAGCTCTCGGAGTTGATCTTGGGGAATCAAACTTGTGAATAGTGCTGGACGAAGCTTTTGGGGATGCACAGTCAAGCAGCATACTAGCATTGAAAAGTCATGAAACTGGAACAAAAGGGCCCTATATATTGAGGAAAGCCTTTCACGAAAGGGACAGTTGTACATCAAATCGACGCGTAAAACAAGCGATTGTTGAAAAGACTTGTTTCTGCGCCACCAAAGTCTCCTCCGCCAGAAATCGGTTGTTGAAACTCGACCAAGCTATGACCTTCCAAAGTGCCCATCGTCTAACTGGGCTCGGAGTTTGGCGCAATGACGCCAATGCCAGGGTACGCACCATTGACCTTTTTCACAAATCAGCGGCTGGAAGACAGTACCAAGGGAAAGCAGAGAAACGAACTGGCGAGCCTGATGAGCTAACGCTGCCGTCAGAGTTTCCAGCGCTCTGTCCAGGCTTGACGAAATTCAATGCGGCGTTACAGTTGAAGTAGCCATCATTGATGAAGAAAGGCGCAATGGTTCCTGACAGACATTCTGGTGTTAGGTTTCTTCTTGGTGGCAATGCGAAAGAGAGAGGACGATTGGTACCTTTAATAAACCCCGTGGCCAGCTCAAAGTTGTCGTATAATTCGGGAGCAAGCTGGTCGGGTGCAACATCGAGGAGGTTCTCCAAGATGAAACAGCCCAACTCCTGTGGCGTCTGGTTCGTCACGTTAAAAAAGCCGAGGGGGACGAAATTCCCCAGGCCCTCGTTGCCTCCGATCTCGCGCGGATTCATCAGGAACATCTCGATGGCCTGCGTCATAGCGCCGACAAGGGTGAATGGTACCCCGCGTCGGTACCAGTTCTCGGGGAAGGTCTCGTTGAGGAAGAAGGGAGCAACGCTGTTGTAGTCTGGGATACCGGTGGTGCCGTTGGCTAGACCTTCGTAGACGAAAACACGCTCCGCATGGGAGACCAAAAACCAGATAACACCGGCGAGGAAGTCTGGGTTTGTCTCTCTGGAGATGTCATAACGATAGCCATTGTCGATAGCATTCAACGCCTGATTGAAAAGTCCGCCGGTCTGGGAGGTCTCGTTGACGTATTCTTGCCATCGTTGAAGAAGGAAGTTGGCATTGTTACCAAAGTATACGTCTTGGCGTGTGATGCTTCCATCGATCTCAAAGACGCCATGTTTGTCGAGACCACCGGCAGGACCGATGGTGTTTGGGACGCGAGCATCAGCCCCTCCAATGGTGTATTTGCCCGAGACAAGGTCGCCGCCAGCCATGAGTCCAAGAGCTGAGAGGAAAACGCTGAGACTATAGTCGAAGCCATAACCTATTTGGACAGCATTGGCGGCTTCGGCAAAGCTTGTGATACCATCGCGGGAGATGTAACCATGGTTCGCAAGGGCATTCAAAGTTGGGCATATGCCACGTACATCGGTCGGGCCTGGGGCTTGGAATTGGTGCGCAGGGTCGTTGCCTGGGATCTGTTCGAGGGTGATGATTTGGGGGGTAGGTACATCGACGGCTTGTAGTTCGCCCGTGAGTTCCTGAAGTGCTCCATTGACTATTACATTACGTTAGTGACTTACGATAGAACATCTCAAGTGGGCGAGACTTACGAAGACCTCCTCCGTAGGGTAAGTCGAGAACACCGTTCACGATTGGTCCAATAATGCCAGCTGGGCTTGGATCTGGAGCAGCTTCGCGTTTGTGCGCTTGGAAAAGCACTTCTGCAGCTTTGGGGTCCCGCTTGACAGCTTCGAACTTGGCAAGATCTGCTTCGGTGAGCACTCCAGAGCGTTTCAACATCTCAAATGGACAAGCCGCGAAAACTCGGGCCACGAGGCCTGCACCTAAGGCGAAATACGCTGTCTTCATGTTGGACGTAAGATCTGCTGTGGATTTTCCGCTGTTTAAAGAATTTAGAAGGTTGCATGGGGTCCCTACGGATGGTTGGCCGTCTGTTTATATAATGGGACTCGTCACTTCTGACAAGTTTCGGGTGTGGGCTATCAGGAAGCCCGCCATTGAAATCCATTTCCGATGCTGGCATCCATGAAATTTCAAATTTTGGTCCCATTTGGGAAAACAGAAGCAAGGTTTGAGCTTCTGAGGGTAGTGGCTTGTCCTCGGCATCCTTAGTGGCACCTGACCCGATGGACAACTTCCATCACCATGTCTGAAAACAGCACTTGATTGGTGGAAAGTGGTGAACCGGCAAAGTCGGAACATTGGAGATGGGATAAAGATGGGTCCCACCTGAGTACTGTATCAGCCTCAGCCGGTGCTGGCCCCGCGGATGTGGATTAACGGAGAATATGATTAGTAGAAAGGGGGTTGTTGAGGATAAAAACAGCAGTCCATAAGCTCTTTGGGGCTATGCGGAGAACCTGGAGTGCACTGCTGCATGCGATTAACCCGGCTAAGACGGATTAAAGCTTTAGGCCCAACATGAGATTAGCATACAGGGAATAACAGCATTGCACTATAGACATGAGATTAGCATACGGGGAATAACAGCATTGGCGTGAGAGAAGAGGAGAAGTTGCAAGAGGGATGCATATCTTTCTCATTGATCGCCGATCGATACGTGATGTAAGGCAGGCATTGATTGATTCAAGCTGGCTTGTATGAAACTTGTAAAAGTACCGGAAAACAGTTGGCTCGGATGCGAGGTTTCTATCATTGTGTGATTGACTGCCCTTCTCACAGAATGAAGCGCCATGCATTTCCCTTTTAGCGATCTGTATCAGCACAATCATTCTGTGTCCGTCTATGGCCGCTTGAGGCGGTATCGTGCTCTCTAGAACACGGGAAAAGATAAATGATACCCAAACCTCAGAAGGATATGGATAGCTGCGCTTGGAGGTTTGACTTCCTGTATCATTCCCATGAATATCTAACTCTCGGCTAACTGTTTTTGAGTCTCCTATCTTACTAGCTAGCTTCACTAGTCGATGTACCTTACCTTAGCCTAGCCTCGGCATAAGGCGCTCATAGGAGTGAACTGTCGGCTATAACGCAGGCCGACAAAAGCGATATGCACCCTTCAACTATCAGTATATTGGGAGAACAAGCGCTCCGTAACTGAATGGTGGTCCCCGAAAGGATGATTGAGAATTCGAAAGTGATATGACGAAGAAGCACGTAATCCTCCTATTCTAGTTAATCATCCTGGATTGCAACCGTTTTGGAAAGTGCGATGAACGAAAAAGGCGGCAAGTTAGGAGGATCTGCAGAAGCACTGCTATACTGGAATATGCTGCCAACTTAAATGGACAGCGATGCGCGTTCTAGAGCATGTTATCATACCCTAGTCAAATTGCGTGCTTTGCTTTCGCCAATCAGCAGTTTGGTATCATTAATTAAAAGGTGTTGCGGGGAAAGGCTGACCTATTATGTGGGAAAAGAATAACTTCCGCATGAGTAAAATTGCGGCTTATGTTTTTGATATTTCTTTTAGCATTTCTCTACAGCATACTTCTGCTGAGCCGCTGTCAGAAGAACGCATGACCCAAATGTGGAAAGACGGCCTCATCTCGGGCTGACTTCGGCACTTACTCGTACGTCAATGTCTTGGCATTATCTCTATAGTTTCTGTCTCCCTTCTTAATTCGTAGCTCGTATAATTTAAGTAATTTAGACTACTATAGTACGAACGTAGTCTTACTAAACTCTCGCACGAGGACTACTTCTACGCTTTGTGTAAGGAATTGCGGTCAATTACTATCTTCATGAGCAAGAATTCCCCCTTCAACAGTCCCAATTCTTGGGTCAACGACTTCACCAACACGATGATCCGCAGTGAAGTATCTCCGTTGGACTTGTTTTCCAAGTACGCCAACGATGAACTTGTTGTAGAGGGGTTTCAAACCTGGCAAGAGCTTGCGGCAGAAGAACGACACAGTCTCGAAAATGCATGTCATGGGACATATTTCTCAGATCTGTGTTCTGGTCTGCATCGAATGCCAAACCTGCAGTCCATCGAAATGGATGATGACATATGGGGTAACACTCGCAGACACATGAGTGGCACATTCCGCCCATGTATTCCCGTCATACTCCAAGCGCCATTCTCTCAGGGTCCCCTCTCGCGCGGGGCTGGATTCCTTGGCATCTGCGCCCAAAGAGATCAGAAGACGCGCGTTTTGAGCATCTCTCTCTTGTGGTCCATGCACTCTCAAGGACCAAAAGAAGCATCAAGCACTTTGAATGCCAGTCTCGCCATTGTCAGATCCGCTCAGATATCTCACCATTGCACTTCGCAGGATGTGATATGACAGAGACATTTCCCCGCCACATGGCCACTGCCCTCTGGCAGCTCGGAAGCCTAAAGCTACAGATCACGCCTCGCAGTGACATTGTAGATCACGAAAACGCCGAAGCGCTTGACTTTCTACCACAATTGTTAGAAAAGATGATTGGCCTGAAGAGCCTTGACCTTGTACTCATCACCGCTGAACGTGTGGAGAAACAGCGCCGTCTATCGCTGGCACTGCTCGATGAAACCTGCTATACATACTCGCAAGTGTTTCCTCGTCGAGGCAAATGGCCGAATTTACAACGTCTATATCTCGCCGGCCTGGCAATACATGGTCTTGACATGACCTTTCTCCTATTCAACCAGATACCAGGATTGCAGCGCCTCTGGCTGAACCACATTAACCTCTTAGGTGGCAAATGGGAAGGTGTTGTTGAGGCTATGCGGATTCGCGGGGCTTTCATACCCTGGGACCTATTGAGTCTTCAAGGGTCATATCGACACCTGGGTGGCCAATGGTGGCCAGATTCACCGGACACGGAGGAGGAACAACTAGCACTTGGAGCCTATATGAATTACGCCACAGAAGGTGGGCGTCATCCGAGCCTGCCAGCTGGTTTTCAGGATTCGCTGTCAATCAATTACTTTAACGAGTTGTACTATGTGGCAGGGTTAGAGCGTATTCGAGCGTTACGGCTCCGCATACAACAGCTGGATGACCGGCGGACTTAGCTCGTACTTTATATCAAGGGCAGCTAAATCATGGTCAATACTTAACAGCGGCGACCGAGCTTACAAGTAGTGAATTTCATCTGCCGAGGCGGGACGTTTCATGTCTGGCGTCAACTTCCTTAAGCCCGACGAGATACCGGAAGATGGATAAGATTGTCTTGTCTGTATGGACCTATTCTACCGCGGCAAGATTCCTGAAATCTTAGTCTCACTTTCTATGTGCCGCTACACTATGGGCTTAGTCTGTATAGCAAAGTGGTTATCTCCCTTGAAAGAGCGGACCTGGTGTCCAATGTGCCGCCGGGTAGAGATTCTCTCCCGAGAAGATTAACAGCGTATGATTAATGTGGACCCAGATGAAATGAGGTGAGAATAGGACATGACTCGCGGCTCGAGAACTATCTGAGATTCTTTGAAGACCCGAGGTTGAAATAGCGCCCGTGGCACCACCAGGCGGGCCATCCACAACGGAAGTTCTGTCTGATTTCAAGATCTTCAGGGTCAGTCTTCCGTGGTACGGCTGATGTAGCGCGCACCAAGTTCCACTCCGAGCATTATCCGAGCTTGCCAGTCGCATGAAGTCTTCGAACCCTTCGTCCTGCGATGTTGCAGACATGAACTTGCGAGCTGTACTATGTATGAGAGGTCCAAGCGTACAACATCCGGTGGACTCGAGCAAGGCGTCATCAATGAGAATAGAATTGGAGGATCTGGTGGATTGGTAGAGACGCTGGCTTTTTGGCGCCCTGGTGCTTGCTTCGTCATACTTCTTAGACTTGTCGTGAAGACTTTGCTGTTGGCGAGGGTTAAGTTGCTGCCCAGAGGACTTCTTGACATCTCTAGCTACAAAATTAGCTGTCGGTAGAGCTCGAGAGTGGAAATTTTCCAGTCTTGAGCCTGATTTGCGCGACTTTTCGTTACACTCGGGGATTTTCACATGCATCCCCATGAGCGTTCCTAGAAGCAAGCAGCAGCTTCAATGCTTTGACGGGATCCATTCCAGACTTCTCCAAATCTGAATCCATTGTCCTCATACCGCTTTATCTCCATACTCTAATCAGTGTACAGTCCTTTGGATCTCTTGATTCCGCTGCAAAGCGGTCACGCCCTAATACTTTTGTCGGCTCTCCTCACTCATCGAGCATCACTATCTGTTACTCAGCATCCCATCACTTCTTTTCAACCAGACTCAACAAAAATTCCGCGCTCTGCTTCAGCTCTTCCGCAACAAGACCAGTTTCGAAGCGAGCTGAACCGAGATCACGCACGGGATTCAGGCTACCTTCTATGGATATAAACTCCCGATCAAAACCAATGGAATGAGTGAGCTTGTGTGGGAGCCGCTGCACGATTTGCAAGTTCAAGATCGTCGTCACAGTTCTCGTGAGAACTTCGGGTGAGTTTTTTACTTTCTACTCGAAGTAAGCGATCGAGTCTAAGAAAGAAAACGCTAGATATTTCGACTGTGATGGGACCCGTTTGATGTCTTCGAATAGCGGGTAGATGCAGTGTGCGAACTTCTACAATACATGCGCCGAATATGGCTGTGTGGAGGAACCAAGTGGTGAGGTGCATGAAGACGTCTCACGGCGCGATAGCACAGATCGTTCTCCTGCAAGGACAAAACAACGATCGGATTCGATTGGCTTTCGCGTTCACAGCGCGTGCGGACTGGGTTGCGCTTGCATTTCAGCGTCAATATCGTTGATGACGGAACGCAGAATTTGAGTACGTGCGCGCTCATATTCAAATTGCTTCTCAAGTCGAACCGAAGATCGAGGGCATTGAAACATAGATCTATACTGGTCTGAACTTGCGAAAGTCTTCATACAATAACTCAACCTTTTCAGGTACTCTATTTTTACCATGCTGGTTTGTTTAACAGGCGAATTTAGCATTGCTTCATTCACTTTCTACCTGAATGAACAGCGCATCAAGCTACCGTCCTTTTAATCATTTTCTTCGCTCTCGAACCGACTCATCCGCCAAGAAGCCTGAGAAACCGGAAAGGGAAATGTTATAAAGAAGGGAATGGGAAGGTCACGCATTTGAGCATGGCACAGCTCTTCCTATCCGGGCGTCTCGCTCGAACCTCTCGTGACCAAAGCTGCTTTGTAATGGTTCCCTTGTAGCAAGGTGAGAAATGGTCTTCCATCACCTTATGCGCTCGTTTGCTCCTGTGAAACAAATAATTAATAGATGATCTGGCCATGATATGGGCCTAGGATCCTTCCGAAGGCTGTGCTTGCGGCGCAGCTGGGGCATGTTTCAGATGCGTATAAGTTCGCGTTCTATTTGACGGACGTCCAGCGGCCCGTCGCTCGAAAAATCAAGATTGCAATTGCAATCCTTCAAATCCTTCGTGTCTTGGCAATAATGTTAGGAAGCGAGATGTCTGTGCAATATTTCCCAATTCATTTCCGTTAATATATACCTCCACTCATTACCTGCTGTGTTCATGTTTTCCACTTCCTTGGCCTGCTTTTGGACAAGGCGGGCTGCATTGCAGTAGTAGCCTCATCGTCTGGCCCGAAAAGCTCCTGTGCACGAAGTTTCTGGGTCGCTTGTCTGCCTGCAAAGCAATCGCGATGTCCAAGACGCCCATCATTCTACGGCTTCTTTGCCTTCTCAATATTTCTCTGGGACTTTTCACAGAGCCTTCTCTAGCTACCAGGCTCAATCAGTCGGTAGTGGCATCTCCGAACCCGGCACGCTACATCTCTCAACCGCATCCTAGTCCCACCGAAGCCAAGAATCAATCCTATGGCCAGATTCCCGGTGTGTACACGCCGTTGCCCACTCAAGAGCCAGGTGCTTGCAGCATCACCGACGAATACTGCTCGTACAACGGCACGGACAGAAACCCAGACGGTTTGAGCGATCAATGCATATTGTGGGACAATACTTGCTCGGGAAACCAAACATTAGCAATCGACCAATTTTTCAGTCAGACACAAGGATTGCTATACGAAAATGTCTGCTTCACGAGCGATGGAGATGACTCTGTGGAATCTAATTGCACCCAACACAATACACCTGCCAGATACTCGGAGTTCGCGAGAATAAAAAGTTGGATGAGATCACCGCAATGCATTAGTAGCCAGGGTGTGTACCAGAAAGCGCACCCAGCTCCGGATACGGAGGGCATGCAGGGTGAGAAACGTGCCGATGATAAGCGCGATAATAGCACGCAAGGGCGCGTCTATGGAGGGGGTACTTGCTGCGGCACCTGCAACATCGAAGCTGGGAATGTCGACGTATACTATTGGCCGGCTTCCAATGCCAACAGATCTTGTCTGAGCATCATCGGCAACAGCGTCAATCCCCCTGATTATCGCGCCACGACAGATTCACTCGGGCTCAAGTAAAGTCACCTCTGCACCCTTATTCATCCCTCTACTTTATGCCTGAAGAAAAGCTGACTCCAAGATATCTGCCAGGTACTGGGGATGCACAAAGCCTCTGACAGGTATTATAGATGAGTCAGTACAGACCATCACCACTGCCTCTGTCATGTTCACAGGATCGATGTCATGGAAAGCATACTTAGAGAATCCATGGGACTCGCCCTTGTGCCCCACAACGTCTGCAGCATCCCCGGGCTCAAATTCATCTGTTAATGCACGCGCCTTAGACGTCCAAATTTACGCACGTGGTCATTCCTTAGTCACTCCAGCGTCGGTCACCGGCAAGGATGACCTGCCTATAACGACCGTGGTGTCTGGAAGCTTCACCTTGTAAGTGAACCCAGCGCCTACCAAGCTAGACATTCAGTAACAGGTTCTCAAGTACTTCTCCATCAGTCTATGCTGCTTTTAGCAACATAGGTGCATACGACTCTTGCGGTGCGGAGGTCATCTCAACAACGATGCTCTCTTTTGCTCCCGGAGAGCTGTCGACCGTGGTTGGACCTCGCTACTTTGGGAATATTGCGGCGACGACTTTACCATTCAATTTTGCAGACCTCGTAAGTAAAGACTTTTCTCTTGTCACTCAAAGTTGAAGAGGTAGCTTGGCAGCCTTCAATAAATAGACATATTTGGGTGTTCACAACGCACTTTTGAAGTGGCAACGCTGACAATAAAATTTTGAACAGCCCTGTCCGCCTTACAGCGTTGCTTCTGAAAACTACTACAAGCCTGAGCCGGGGGAGCCATATAGACCTCTGATCGCTATACCCAGCCAGGTCAGGGACATGGTTCCGTGGTTCCAGTACTGTACAGATTTGTGGTTCACGGGCTTCGATCCGCCGAGGTCTCTAATTCCAGCAGCAGCAATAGCCCCGCCTGTCACTACTAGCGATCTTGCAGCCCTCACCATAGCACCGCAGCCGAGTGCGACTCAATTTCCTGGCGCAAAGCAGACAGCTGCAGTGTGGAACCCAATACCTCTTCCATCGCCACTCCAACACGTGCCTCTCCCAAAAGAGACCAATACAGCGCCGGTGCTCAAGCCCCAAGTGTCCAAAGAGACCAACCCAGTGCCAATCATCAACCCACAAGCATCGCAGCCTCAACCTGCAGACGGTGACCTAGGATCGGAGCATCAAGGTTCGTCTCAGAAAGGCAGTGGCTCAACAGAACCTAGCGGACAATCGAGCATTCAGAATGATAGCAGTGGAGATCCCAAGTTTCCAGGAGATTCGAACCAAGATGCAACAAAGGACCCGTCTTCGCCTGCCCAGAATCAAGAAATCAACACTGCTCAAATTGCTACAAACGCGGCGGCCCAACATAGCTCTCAGAACGAAAGTCCAGATCCAGGAGATTCAACACCTGCCGAGGCTGCCACGCTGGTAGAAACAACAATATCGCTTGCTGGTCATGCTGTGGTGGCGGGCCCCTCTGGTGTTCATGTCGACGGCGTGAAAGTCAATCCTAATCAGGCTCCAACAGACATATCTGGAATGGCGGCTATAAATCAAGGAAACAGCATCGTAGTTGCCAGCCAGATCTTCCATTTAGCGGCTTCAACAGAACAAGTTGCCACGATGATTGCAGGCCAGACAGTCATCCCTATCGCTAACGGCGTGTCAATCCATGGTACTTCCATTACAGGCACAAACACTGCGATAATCTCCGGAACAGCGGTATCTGTTCATGACTCACACCTTTACTTCGGAAGCAAATCATATCCACTTCCAACCGCAAACCCTGCATCAGCGACGACGTTAGCCAATGGAGCAGTAGCTCTCCCAATACCGAACGCAGTATCAATCTATGGAACTACACTTACCGCTGGCGCACCAGCAGCAACATTTTCTGGAACTGCCGTCTTCCTTGACGTTTCGAATAACCTTGTCTTCGATGGTACTGGCCAGGCTCTGCCTCATTTCTCTCAAACAGAATCCCAGTCGGGCCAGGTCACAACTATTGATGGTGTAACCCTTGAGCTGCTCTCAAGTGGTATCTCTGTTGCCGGCACTACTTTGACACCTGGAGGACCTGCTATTACTGCTTCCGGCACTGCTACGTTGTCGCCGGGAGTTTCAGGAACGACCTTAGGTGGAACTTTGGTGTCTCTGGGCTCAGGTGGCAATCTTGTGATTGGGTCCAAAACAGTGGTACTTGGGGTTCCCAGTGGAAGCTTGGGTGGAATAATTATGGGGGGATTCGGGTCTGGAGGTCCATTGGCCAACAGCTCGTCCCCACCAGGGAGCCTACCGTCAGTTCTTAGCAATAGTACAAGTTCTAGCGTGCACATCTTTGAGGGAAGGGCTAGATGCTTACGAAGCCTTGTTCCAGAGGGTCTAGCTGGCTTCACAATTGCGATACATTTAGTGTTGTATTTTTACAAATACCAATAAGCTGTACCTTGTGAAATGATTACCATGTCCCATCTTGACCTGAGAATTTCTTTTTGTTGCACTACGGTATGCGCTCTAGTGACTTGAAGGGAATTACACGATATTCTCCCGTGCTCATAAGCTGTCATTTTAAAAATGAAGCGATGCGCAAGAGAGAATAATGCATAGTGTCCAAGTTCTAGGTGAGAATGCTGGTGTTAACGCAGTGAATCGGTAGCGATCAGCTTCTCAGATTCAAAGGCGCCCGGGTTCAGCAAAATTCAGACAATGGATCTTCGAACGTAGTGCTGTTCTAATCTCTAAATTAATATTTTCCAGGAGCGTGATGCGAAAGACAGAATCGTGTAGACAATGATATCAAGACATGGGCATCTCGACTCATGACGAAGTTGACCTTGAATTGGATTGATGATTGGAAGATACCACTGAAAATGGGAGACTACCCAAAGTATCTGGGACAGATGGGCCATCTTTAGACTCGTAGGCTCAGGGATCAGCAGAGCTCAAAATAGCAGTACTTCTAAAGAATATGGCAGACAGGTTCCCTGCTAGCGCGTCTCTGCTAGCATCCGGACCCTCTCCGTTCCACCGACAAATACAGACTGTGTGACTACCATCAGCCTCTCCGTAGAGCCTCTTGCGTACAACCTCACCTCTTGGTGGTCCCTAACATGTCCGGCATTCCGGTCTACGTATGAGCCACGTCCAGTGTCCCAATTCCCTTCCCAAGGCCTTTCAGGCAACCAAGCGGCTTTATGTAGAGATATTTGGGTTCAGCGTAGCCAATAACAGCATATCCTGTTTATTTGATCGCCAGCGCCCCCTTTCTTTGTATTCATCTCCGCCTCTTGCATGTCCTGGACACTGAATGCGAGGTATATGGCGAGTGGGCCAGACCATCGTCGGCTACAGCTGCGCATACTTGCTCCCCGCCTCAAGGGCTGGGTAGATGGTGTATGTGCGATGGGCTCTGGATAGAGTGTCGTGGCAAAGCTGCTGAAATGGGAAGGGTAGGTAGGGCGCCGAAGTCAAAGGCTGGAAGAGGAGAGGTTGTCAAGCGGCTCGGGCGTGCAGAGAAGGTGGCTGGCATGGTCATTGTCTCGTGCTGGAGGCAGCGAGCGGTTGATGCGGAGAATGATGAAGGTGCGCGTGCTGCCCACTGGTTGTAGAGTAATTGGCACACCAGGCAGTCTTTGATCGTCGCTGTAAGGCTGAGCTAGAACCGAAGCACGGACTTAATGATTATCCGGACAATAGGTGCGAGAGGAAGGATCTTGGAGCCTGGTGCTTACGTTCCCCACTTCTAGACATGCCTTCTCAACTCATCTCATCTCTACAAATATCCATCATTTATGGAACAAGAAGAAAACCAGCCGTGAAATAATCTCTTTTTGGGATCCGTGGTTGTTGGCCTTCAGCCATACTCATACAGTTGAGGCTGTCAACCATGCATCTTCCATTCCTCCAAAACTCATATTGGCTCAAGGTACTACGGGCCCGAGTTGGGGTAGCGAATTGCTTGATCCAGCTCCTTCTTTACTCAGTCTGTTGGCTTGAGGGTTTTATTGGCCAAGGTTGTCGTATGCAATTCCCAAGTTGTTGTGAGTCAAGCATCTTTTAACGCCTTCTGACTTTTTGTATCAATCAACATACCCCTGTAACACTAGCACTCGACATACTACCGAGAGTCAGACCCAGTGATCAGCAGCCTCTTGAGTGACCGTTTGGTCACTACCTGACGACGAGTCTCTTTATCACATTTACTATTCTAGACTATTTGCTGTGGTCACAAACTTTCATATCAACTGCCAAGCATCGCTCAAGCTAAAGAAAAGCAAGATCGAGCCATCGCTGATGCCGGCAACAGCCTCAGGATTTGCTTGGAGACCGAACCCAATCAAGAGAGGTTACACCGCCTTCGGTGACTCCTACGCAGCCGGTATAGGCACAGGCAACACATCCACATGGGGTTGCAGACAGGGTCAATTCGCCTATCCAGACTTAATCGCATCAACTGTCCAAGACATCGACTTTCAGAACCTCGCCTGTTCGGGAGCCACAGTCCAGAATCTTCTCGGCGGAGGAGCATACAGCCAAGTCGATGCATGGTCAGCAACTTTTGAAAGCCATGACTGGAAAAATAAACACTAATTTCAGCTTCCTACAGGACCAACCCAACCATCGCTGACATCGCTACTGTCTCCATTGGTGGCAATGACATTGGCTTTTATAACATTTTGACGGCATGTGTACTCTGGGTTGGTGGAAACTGGGCTGGAGACTGCGACACAGAAGTTGCTAAAGCTAATGAGATACTTGCCAGCCCGGATCTCTCCACTAACATTACGTCCGTATTGAAAGAAATCATTGACAAGAATGGCAATGACGCCTTCAAGGTTTATATGACAGGCTATGTGACTTTTTTCAACGAAGCCACACCCCTCTGCGAGAGCTCATCGTTCAGAATATGGAATCCTCATTACGACAATACCCACAAAGAGAAAGGCCAGCCATGGCTAACGACAGCTCTACGGGCACAGCTAAATGGTGTAGTCGTGGCTTTGAACACGATACTCAGCCACATCACCAGCTCTGTTAACGCTTACTATGGCAACACTCAGAGAATCGTCTTCGTAGATCCAAATTCTGCTTATGCCGGTCATAGATGGTGCGAAGATGGCGTGTACGAGCCAGACAATGGTAGACTGAATACCTGGCTCTTCCTTTCTAGTACCCCTGATAACAGTCTTCCCGACGATCCACTTGGTGCTTTGGAATCTTACCAACAAGAGCAATCGGAGCTGGTTGCCGGACCTGATTTTCCTCTGCCAGATCCGACTACGTGCAGAGAAACCTTGACACAATTCAATTCACTTGTCCGTAGTGACTGGTATGGTAAGTCACCGACTCTTGAATGACGTATTGTAACTTTTCACGACTGACGTAGTCTAGAGAACATGCTGTGCGATATTTCCATCGCTACTTCAAGCGCCTCGTCCTTCGAGTACCAAGTCATACAAAAAGAAGCCATGCAGATTCAACAGGGTAATCTCACGAAGCTACGAATTCCGTGGTATGTACCAACCAGGTTGGCGAAGACTTTCCACCCAAAGACTCTTGGCCAGCTAGCGTTTGCAAATGAGATCATGGCGGTGTGGTGACGGGTCGTTAGTTGTCCCATTCATGAAAAACACGCATCAATGCACGCATAGGGGCCCACATAGAGTGTAGATAGTGGTTGGGCCGTCTCACGCCGGGGATAGCAAGCCTAAATAGGCCTAAATAGAGGCCTGAATAGGCATATTTCTCGTACCCCAGCGTAAGAAAACTTTCATGCCTATGGCATAGACCTGGAGTGGAATGATAGCTAGCTATGTACAGATGTGGATGGGTGGGACAAAAAGTATATAATGACTCTGAAAGAGACGAAATCGAATGAAGAGCCATTGACAGGTGCAAAACAGGTGGCTATATAGCTCGTACTGGACAACTGTCTCCTACCCCTTGCAGGGGTACCGACAGGGCCATGAAACAGGGGCATGTCATGTGACCCACTAACCCCCAGTCCCACTGTGGCGAATATTCCTGACTGCAAAGTGAAATGTGCTGTGAGTGCACGGTTTCCTTCACCACTAATCATGTGAGACCAATCCCGCCAAATCAAATGCTCGCGCGCATGTAACTGACGTAACTTCCAGGTGATGATGCGCACATCCGGGTTTAGCGATTTCTCAAGCGCTCAATCGCGACAGAGCATCTTTGTCTACAGTCTTCATGTTTTGGCTCTGTTTCATGAGAGCAAAGTTGGACGTACCAGAAGCATGGCTCCCAGATGGCTTTTTTGGCTCTCGTATATGACCACTTTCTCGGGTTTTCACATCTGTGGGGCTGATCTTGATAATGCAACCAATACCCCAAGATCTGCCACCAAGGCTCTGAACGAGCCTCTGAACTTGACCGAAGTCCTGGACGGCGTTGACTCAGATATACCCGCATACTGCAACGGTTCAAATTCTTGGATAAAATTCAAAGCGTCCCAAATAGTCCCAAACTGCAGAGCTGCCGACTTCATGCTAAAAAGCTCAAAGATCTGGCTCTGGGGTCACACGGAGTATGAATTTTTACCGCGTGGAGTCCCTGCTAGGCTGGAGTTCCCCGTGATGCGGACTCCACTGAGGGTTACCTCCAGTATAGTACCATCGCAAAGCAATCTATGGAAAGTAGGTACTGACCGGCGGAACAGGCAGTTCCTGGCCGTGCACCATAGCGATTGTCAATCTGAACACTGTTCCAGCAGCTTTTCTCAATGGCGGCGGGACAAGAGGACCTTATCCGAGATCTGATGTGGCGACATACTACGACGTTCAAGATGCCCTTTCCGAGGTCTGGAGCGATTGCGTTTATGGAATTGAGCGCCAAGTTGGTTGGGCAGCCACTGGTAAGCCAATCCATCTCTATAAAAAGTCATAAGGATTCGAGTGACTCATGCTTGGCTGCGCCTGGAATAGGCAAGGCGAACTCGCTTGGCGTTTTCATGTTTAATGCCCAGTCGGATATTAGCAACGCGATTCCCAATAATCCGACGGATTTCTTCGATCCCAGAACAAAGAATGTGACTCCTTGGGACACCGACATCTGACACCGACGCCAGCTCTCTGTCTCTTGCCATAGCACAAGGTCTCATAATGGCTAGGCAGAGCAATCATATGATGCAGTTTCACGCTCATTTTTGAGGCCCCTTGAGGCCCAGCACGGTCCAATACTTCTGTACGTACCCGATAGGATGACACTCCCAGCCCTGGACGACGAGAAACGTACATGGAGAAACATTCTACTCTGTGCAAAAACTTCATCTTCGCTATTATACAACGTCCCGTATCACGTGCGTATCTTGTTTCTTATATCTCGAAGGATCACTTTCTCTTTGTTCGGTAGAGGTTTCAGTACCTGCGCCCCCTCGAGGATCGTCCTCTGGGGTTTACATAAGTCTATCGGTTAGCTTCAGACCAAGTACGCCGCCTTCGTATAACATATTCAGCCTATCATACCACATTATCATAACTCTTGGAATCTTTCCTCGATGCGCCGCAGTCCTACGTACACTTTATGAAACCCTCGATTTCCTACTCATCCAGACTTGTGTTCCCCAAGTCTCTAGGCGCTCACGATCTCCTATTCCTAGGTTCAAATGCTTTGAATCCTTGCATTGGAAATATTGTTTTCCAACACGTCCTCTGTTACGCCAATAATTGGCGAGTATCGAGGTCAAGTAGAGTGGGAGTGCCGCTAAGGGTCGATCCTAAATTGGACCTTGTAGGCCATGAAGCTAGCTTAGCCCGAACGTGCCGCGCCCTTGAGTTTGCAGGCCTTCCTTCCACACGACTTTGTTGCGCCCAATCCCGAGCAACGTCGGTGATTGCTCCCTTTTCCGAGAGGTTCCTGCTGTCGTTCTCACGCCGGGCTGCCAGACGCCCCGGTATTGCACCAGTCAAGGATTTCCTTGTGCCTCGACCTATGTTCTCGCCTGTAGCGCACCAGAAGGAAGGTCGATTACACCGAGTACTCGTGCAATCCAGGAATGAGTTCCCACGCTAAAATTTAGCGTCTTAGTAGAATCTCCTCGCAAATATCTATATTTATTCTATTATTTACTCTATTAAATCTAACTATATTATATATTTAATAATTTTATATAATATTAAGACTAATCTAGAGCTTAGAGTAACTATAGTTATTTATAGATTACTATATTATAAAAGTTTTAATATTATTAAGCGAAGAATAGAGGTAAATAAGAGATTTACTTTTATCTTAATATTAAGAGTAATTAATAAAGTCGAAAATAAGAATTTTTACGATATTCTAATATATCTAAAGAGTCTTAATTATTCTAGAGAATCGGCTCGAATAGAAGATTAATTAGATCTCTTAAAAATAGTATATTAAGTTATTTTAAAGTATCTTAGACTATCTCGTAAAGAGACTATTTAGTAAGAAAATATCGATATTCTAAAGGTAAATAAAAAGCGAAAATAAGATAAAGATAAATTATAACTATTAATTTCTTAATCGCTTCTTTTAAGAGTCGCTCTTAAATATATATATTAGATAAACGATAATTATATTATAAAAAGAATTAAGCGAAAAATTAAGTTAAAAAAATCGCGTTTTAATTATTTCGAAGAATATAGATAAAATAATCTTTATATTTAAATTCTTAAAGAGTTAGATAAGAGATTTATCTTTATTATTAATAATAAATATTATTATAAGATTAAGAATAATAATTATAAACGACGATATATTTTAATAGAGAAGAGAAAATTAGTTAAGACTATAGTAGTAGTCGATACTTTAATATAATTTATATAAATATACTAAGTCTTATACTCTACTAAATCTAATATTAATTTATAATATTATTAACTAATATAAATAATAGCTAAAAGATATAAATTAAAGATTAAAATTATATTAAAGAATTATAAATAAAAGAAAGTAATAAAGAAAAAAAGGTGTCTTATAGAAATTCTCGAAATTTTTAAATATACTCTTATAGAGATAAGTTCTAACGCTATCTTTTATTAAGAAATTACTAATAAATTCTAAAATAAGAATCGATAGATTACTCTTTATAATCGTTTTTTTAAAAAGAGTAATAAAGAAAAAATAATAAGAGTATAAAAAAATCACATATTATAAAATAGATCTTTAAGTATAGATTTTCTTTAATATCTAAGAACTATAGAATTAATAGTAAATAATATAAAAATTATATTCTATTAACTCGTCTATATAAATATATAGAGAAAGTTATAATTAGAAACTTTAATAAGAATATATAAATAATTAAGAATAATACTCTCGTCTATATTAAAGTAGTTAAACTCTATTAAGAAGAATAGAAAAGACGTAATATTAAGAAGATTAATTAAATCTCTAATTTATTAAATCTATATTAAATTAAATCGTTATAAAATTTATTAAAGATTAATTTATAATTATATTAATATTTAATTAAAGAAATAAGTAAGATAACTAAAGATAGAATTAAAAAAGAGCTAAAAGCTAAGTAAATTTTTATTATAAATTAATAGCGAAATAAGTAAGTTATAGCTCGATGGCGAGATAAATTAAATCTTTATTATAAGTTAAAAGATAGTAATAAGTTTAAAGAATAGATATATCTCCTTTAAAGTATCTTCTATTAATATTCTTTTACTTAAAATCCTTTACTCTAGAGATATATTCTATTATAATCTTATTATATTTTAAATAATATTTTAATATATCTTTCTCTTAACTATAATTTATCTAGTCTAAAAGAATTATTTTATTATTATTAAGTATAATAACTTCGATAAGAGATATCTAAGAGATATTAGTCTATCGAAAAGCGAATATAATATTATTATCTAATTTAAAATAACGATAATTAATTAAAAAGTTATTTAAAATCTTTAATTAATTAATTAAGTAGTTTAAATACTTAGAAGATTACTTATATACGAATATAGCTGTTATTATTATTATATTCTCGATATCTTAATATTTAATAAAAGAGTATACCTTAGTAATAGCCTCTCTCTCTATAAAATAAGATATATTTTAGTGCGATTTTGCGGAGAACTAAGTAACTTGATTAGCTAACTTCCCGACGCTATTTTAGCGTAGGAACTCATTCCTGGATTGCACGAGTATACCCGATATTTGTTACGAGCGTACCCTACATCTCCCTTGACACACCATCCAGCCCTATGGCCTATTAGGGCCTAGCGTGTCTTGGCAGAGGCATCTACTACTACCTGATGCCTCCTACCTACATAGTTGTCCGGTACCTAGTTGTCTTATTCAATATACCTACATTGATACCACATCTGTACCGGTCCTGACACTACAACTAGGTCACCCCACTCACTACATTCGAATCAGCAGACGAATTCAAGAAACCTGTTGGCAGGGGCTTTGGCAAGATACCAAGTTGAGCCATCGTATCCCTGGGTAAACCTACCACACAGGTAACACGTTACAAAGAGCACCTACCGGGACAGCGTAACGGCCTCGTGACCAGTCAGAGGGATAAAGCAATCACTGGACCAGTTTATTTGTACGGCTAGCAAATTCAAAGAAATCGCCACCCTACTCAACAACCATACAACTGACCCCCTGAGCGGAGTGAAGGCATTCAAAAGAACGATATTCAAACTACCTGTGGTTTTCACGGCAGCCTAAACAGTCTGCAAATCAAGGAAAAAAGTCCCCGCAAAGCACAACACCATTTTTCGAATTTGCAGTGAAGCCTCACAAAAGGTGTTGTGAGAAATTTTTCTATTCCCTCCTTCACTTGGTGCCCACAACACCAAAGACTTGGGAGAAATAAAGAAACTCTCTTCTTTTCATTTCAAAACCATCATAAATCTCGAATATGCAACCAAGCAAGATGAATCGAGTCAGCAACCTCCTTACTCAGACATTCGACCGTCGACAGTCCTTGCTGCCTGACGACACAGCAGAGGATGTCGAGGCTGCCACGGACCCTTGGCAGGTCGTCAGCATCGACCAACTACGCCATTGGGCCGATGAGAAGCCTGATCAATTCCTTGCCATGCTCCGCGACCTCCGCTATCAACGAGACCAGTTTCGGGACGTGGCTGAGTGGTACACCGACCTCAAGGCTGAGAAGGACAAGGTAGTGGACCAATGGGATGAGGCCCAACAACGCTTGGAGCAAGTCAGCACCAAGGCCGAGGAACTACAAGAACACAATAGGGAGCTTCGACAACAGCTAATGGCAATGCGGTTGGGCATGCTTGGGGACCCACAAACCACCCCTAAGACACAAGCGTCAACCCCACTGGAGCCCGCCCAAGTTCCACTCCCCACCCATAGGAAAGAGAAGTCCACCAAGCTACCGGATCCTCCCTCCTTTACCGACGGCAAGGACCCCGTATGGGAGGATTGGTCAGTCAAAATGGAGGAAAAGTTATCGGGCAATGAGGATCACTACCCCACCGAAACGTCTCGGATCACCTACCTCCTGTCACGCATAGGTGGGGAAGCGATCTCTTATACCCTGAATAGGAGGCGTAGGGGTACCACAAACCCCTACACGTCAGTTAGCGAGGTTATGGACCAGCTGGCTGAGATCTATGAAGAGACGGACCGTCGTGAGAAGGCAAGACGCGACTACGATTCCCTCCAACAGACAACCCAGCCCTTCAATAGGTTCTATGCAGAACTCGTCAGACTCGGTTCCATACTCAACTATGACGAAACCCACCTGAGGGACAATTTGGACACCAAGCTACAAACATGTACCCGACTCCACTCCGTTTTCATGGCCCTTCCTGGTCACAAGTCCATGCCCCTGAGGGACATCAAGGAACACCTCATGGACAACGACAACTCACAGCGCGCAGGCTATGAACGACGTCTGGCTCTGTCCCTCGACAAAACGACTTCCAAAACCA